CCGTGCGCTAGATAGACCGTGTGCACGGCGCCGGTCGCGAGCCGAACTGACCACGTCGGAGGTCCCGATGGGCCGCGAGCGATGTCTCGGACCGATGAGGTGCGCACACTCGTTCACACACAAACTTCCTCCCTTTCACTCCTCTACAAATTCTCCTGTCTTAGGGACCCTCTCGTGATTCTGACCTCCTTCTTCTCCTCTCTCTCCCTCTCCACTCCTCTCTCGCGACCGCCCTAGACCGGCATACGTATCGAGTACACCTCTCTCCTCCAGGCTTCCGACATACCTACAAGGTACCATCGTAAAATTTAAAATTATCCACAACTTGGCATCGCACGCGCGAGCATACGAACACATGACTCTGGTAGAGAATCAGGCACTACACAGCAGACTCTGACGCCGTGCGCAGGGACAGCTGCCGAGGTCAGTAGATATCCGGCCATACGGAACGAGAGTTCAGAACCGATGTCACATATACAAAGGACACTTGTTGGCCTCAGAGCGGGCGTTATAACCTGTACCGGACGGAAAAGGAAACCAAAAGGGCTGACCGCGGAGAGGAGAGGAGGGATGGCCAAGGGAGCTACACGACTGGACAAACACATCGAGAGATAGTTGAGCGGAGGAGAATATAGACAGAGAAGCCCTTCGTAGAACTTCCCTCGTGCATTGGCGGAGTAGAGAAGATAGAGAAAAAAGGAAAGATAGCATTGCGTAAGAGTCTTGACGTTGGAGTTACTGGGTCCGTGTCGTGTGTGTATATGTGTTGTTCTCTCGCAAAAGATTCGTGTTGTCCTTTGTTGTGTCATGTAGATAGGAAGAAGTTACAACGAAAATAAGATAGTCACGTTTGTTTGGACGATTCGAGCTGTGTCTGAGTGTTGACTAGGTGTGTTTACGTGGGTACTGTGTGTAATTGCCTTGTCAATGTAGTGTGTTGTGTGTGTGTTGTGTGTGTGTGATTATGGTGCTGAGATGCAGTAACATGTTGATGTCGTTATTGATTTGCTGTAGTTATGTAGTGTTTGTAGTTATTAGACAACATATGTATGTAGCGAAATTACCTAACCACTTAATACATCGTCAACGTCTCGGGGTACCCACGGTTGGTGAGTGCACAGAAGTGACCAAACGATAAGCTTCACCTTCGCAGACCAGGCTCTTGGCTCATAATCAGAAGCGTTACCAGTCTGTAACGGACTTACGGGATCGTGATTGAGTGGCCCGTCTTACTACCACCACTACATCCTGATTCGTGAACCATACAATCAGGCATGGAACCTGGTTTACCTACGAAACATCGGAGGTGGTTTGCCGCCAGGATGAAGAGATCTGGTCTGGAGGACGTTGCGATCCCCCAGGGCAGTAGTCCGCTCTTTACCACCGAGACGTCCACTCTTCGTTGTAGGCGAGAACGCGCGTACGGACGCGACACAGGTTGGGTAGCCGGTACTAGACATGAAGGTTTGCTGTAGCCTGAGACGTTATCGGTGTACTTTCCCTCTGTTGTCAACATACATATCAATATACCTTAAAGAACTATGGGTTCTAAGGGCTTGTTCTCTCAAAAAAAAACATCACACACCATTCGTACTTTCCGCACACACCCTCATTAAACCAACAGGCTCATCACTACAAGAACCAACCTTATGATGTTCATCGTTTACGCTTACCCCGCGCCTTCCGAACAACCATAGAATCTTTTTAGCGTACACCTGAGAATAGAATATTTACTTATTATACACCGCTGGAGACAAACTTAGACTGTTCTTTGTCACTCGCAGCTCTTTACTCGTTACGGTTTCCGTCTGCGCGAAATGCAGGGCAGTAACTAGAGATATGAGTGCCCCCCACCACCTCCTCTCCCCTCCCTTCCCTCCTCTAACACCAGCCGCGGATGGGCGAGCAAAGGAACCAAGCAGGGAAAGAGAGGGAAGGAGGGAGAAGGAGACGAGGGATAGATGAGCTGAGATTGTTTTGGAGTCTGCGTTATCTGTTTTCTTCTTTTTGTATTTTCTATGAACGTGGACGATAAACTCAAACTACATTGGTAACCTTCTCTTTTTTCCTCTTCTTCCCCATTTCTGTTTGGCTTCACAGGGGTGGCACCTGCAAAGAAGAGCCCGAAACTGGTAAGTTGTTGTTTTTTTTGTCAACACGCTTCTCCTCTCCTATCTATACTTCACTCTCCTGTCCTCAATCTACATGATGTATCAGCCAGAGGGATGTTGGTCTCTCCTCTCTTACCTCGTCCCTGACTCTCTCTCTCTCTAAGGTGTAACTTGTGTTGCGCTTATGGGTCTGTTTGTAGTCTGTTTGGGATGCTGTGCTGTGCGGGGGTGGATCCCTGTAGCTTCACATCAGCACCCCCCCCCACTCCCCTCCTCTCTGTGGCGGGGGCTTTGGACGAGGGGCTTTGATGCACAGCGTGAGCTGGGTTGCTAACACGCTGATGATCGCATCGCGCGGGGTGCTAAGCTTGCAGTGTGAGAGTGGAATGTAGGATCACAGCTGAGAGTCGGCCTCATCCCGTGACATCCGCTGCATTAACGCAGAGACATGATGACTCTGTCTGACTCACTGAACGTGTGTTTGTCCATTTTGTTTTTGCAGGATCATATGGAGCAGGCTCCTCCATACAGAGATTACACTAGGATGGTATGTGAAGTAGATACGAGGGGGTGGTGGTGGTGGTGTTGGTGCTGGGTATGTTAGATGATAATGGTGATGGTATGGTATTTTTATAGCGGATAATAGCGGTGGTACATTGAGGACGATAATGCATGATGTTTCAAGATAATGTTGGGTAGCTTGTGAGCAATAAAACACATTAAAGAGGACTGCTAATGCTGTCAGGCATTGAGCCTCTGAACCTCAGTATGGCCTGCTGCTGGGCAAGAGGAGTCTGAGGAAGCAGCGAGGATTTGTTTTCATTGACTGAGGCCCCCCCTCCCTCCCTCCATCCATCCATCCCATCTTCTGTCTCCTTAATAAGTTATTGGAGCAGCAGAAACCAATGTATTAGGGCAGTCCCGGGGGAGAGGGAGAACACAGTGACTGCAGAAGGTCACATTTAATGGATCCATCAAGAACAAGAGATTTGTTTTCATTTAGTAGGGGGAAGGGATTTGGACTTTGTGTACATCAAAGTGAGAGAAACCAAAAACGAAAGCTGCCGCATTGGCTAATGGAGGCCCCATTTTGTTTGATGGAATGAAAGAGTCCAAAAAAATCATTATGAGGTCAGGGAAGGATCAGTCCTGAGCTCTGACTTTTGCAGCAAACCTAGCCTGCAGTTGTTACTAATTATATAAATCATTTGATTTTTACATCCCCACAAAAACCCAGTGATGTTACACTCATAACACTTGTAGCAATAAAGCTGGATCCACAGCTTTTAACTTAATACTAGCTCAAGCTTCAAGCCTCTTCTATGTTTAACAAGGATGATGAATATATACATGAATTGCAGAGGTGTATAGGCTGATTTGGCAAGTGATGAGTGTGAATGTATTGAAGACTGCACTTTGAAGGCCAAACACTTTGATATCTAAGAACAGATGAGCCATCCGCCCCCGTCCTTCTTACTGGTGTATTTTTGTGCACCACATCCAAAGAACCGGGAGGTCACATGATGCAAAGAGACTGAACTGAAGTGGTTTTCTCTTGTCATCTTAAAATATATCCCTTTGTTTCTCACGCTCCGTTTGTAACCCTCTCCCTTTAGTGCAATTGTTTTGAAAATCTGCAGAATAATGGTGAGGATGGGACTGTAAAGAAAGATTTATTGTGACACGGGTCATGGGAAGGATTTCTTCTTGTACTTCTGCTCAGGGTTGTATGTGCTTAACTCTGCTCAAGCACCGCTCCCTTCAAATCCTTCAGCAGGTGCTTAAGTGCCCATGTTACTGAGGGGCCAGTGGCAATTTATGAGGGGTTTTACATTTTCTGGCTCCACCAGTTGGATCCCAGCTTCGTTTCAAACACCACACAAGGGCTTTATTCGCTGTGGATATCCCTCCAGGTGCAGCAATGGATGCAGTTCCTCTGTGTTTAACAAAAGGACTAAGCAATGTGCTCTCGTAAGTTAAGATACAGTTGTTTTCTCCCACAGCTCAATCATGAGAAACCATCGTGGTCCTTTATTTTCCCAAACAGGTTGATCGTTGTTTGTGTCAGTCGCAACGCAACAATGGTTGACATTATATACACTCGGGTTCTACCCCACGGAGCAGCCATCTATCATCCTTTTGATCTCTAATCTGAAATTCTTCTGTCTTCTAGTTGTCACCCCACTGATTCTCCTCTCCCCAGATTGTCTTTCCGCTGCTGAGCATACAATAACCTTTTTTTTGTGTCTCTCTTTTACAATTGGCAAATGATATTGATCTGCTTCTCCAACAGCAATTGTCGAGGAAAGACAGTCAGAACAGCTCCCAGCACAGCGTTTCCAGCCACCGGAGCGCCCACACAGACTCGCCTGTGCACTCGTCCCTGGCGGCCACTCTCAACGAGAGCATCGCCCCCCCGCCCCCCTCTCAGCCCCTGCCTGGCCTGCCGCCCCAGGACTCCCCGGCAGACGGGACCATCCAAAGAAAACCAGACCCCTTTAAGATCTGGGCCCAGTCCAGGAGCATGTATGAAAGTAGGCGTAAGTATATACTTTTTGGTGGCGGTTGGTTGAGGGCTGCATGGGGCTGTTGGATCAGGGAGACCCTTGGTGTGTGTGTGCACGCTTTGGAGCGAAATCTGGGATAAGACTTGTGCATGTAAGTAACTGACTTATACGCACATATATTCACTAATAATCACATATTCTGCCAAGCTAATCGCCCACCGGCTCCAGCTTAATATTTAACAAACAGACATCTAACGCACAGCTGGAAAAATGAGTTATTCATCTTCAAATCAGTTCTTCAAAGCCACAAAGTTGGCATTTGTTTCCAAGCGGAATTAAAAGCAGCATGTTCGTTGTGCAGCCGTTTAAAAGCCATTACTGTAGGTGCCACTGTGGTCCAAATGTCGACACTGCCACCATTGACACACTTTTACACTACACTTCCCTAAAGAGACACACAGGCGTATAATTAGCTGCAGTTGTAGAGTCGATGTCAGCGGATTGCATACCCCCCTCCTCTTTGTCTAGCCTCGCCAAAGCAAAGGGAAAGCTCCAATTAAAAAGAATAACCCTCACATCCTCTGTCAAGTAACAAAAAAATAAAAAGCCAGGAGGAAGAGGAAAAAGCAGGAGTCTGCAAGGGCCAAGAAACATCTAATAACTTATTATGCACCACTTGTCAAGGATTTTCATTATTCAGATGCCTAAGAGAAACAGTGTGAAGAGAAGGGCTGAACGTGTGCTCAGAGAGCAGACAGAAGACAATAGTGTTTGATTTATAAATGAAATAAAGAATAGTCAGGAGGACTGGAAGAAACCAAGACGAAGGGGGAGATTAAGTCTTAATTTACCTGTCCTAAGGTGATGGAGTCTCAGCAGGGGTTTTCCAAATTGCCTGAGCTAGTTTGCTCAGTACAAATGGGGGGGGGACCGCAAAGAGAGCACAAAGGATAGCAAAGAGGGAAATGACAAAAATGTGGAAATGAAAGAGAAAGCTCCAACATTCTGGGATCAAGAGATTTGAAGGTAAAGGGCAGAAGAAATGAGTCCAGAGAGAAGGGCAGGGAGGACAGTGACCTGTACCTGCAGGTTTAAATCCCCCGTTTCCTCACGCTGCATTGAGCTCTCATCCTGAGATCCTGCTGCGCATTGGGCCCAGGCCTCGGCTGCAGCAGAGACATTTCTCTACGCCACATTCGCTATAATGAAAAGTTTTTGCAGAGATCAAGGTCTTTAAACACCCCATGTGGTGAATGATTTTTCCATTTGCAGGAAAAAAAAAATTCCCCCTAAGAACTTGCTCTAAAACTAGGCCAGAGGATAGGGAAGCTGCTTGGCCTTCATTTTGATTACTTGGTCTCACGCAAGAAGCGAACAATCCCAACGTTTCATATTCCCAATGTTTTCTTATTTTTCCTCTGCTCTTAATTAGAGCATTTTACAAATTGTCATGAGAACTCTTACCAAAGATAAGAAAAATCATCTTGTTTTCACCGTCCACAAATGTTTTTGTCCAACGCAAGTAAACACAATGTCTTCTTACATCTTTTAGAGGTAATCGCCATTTTTACCTAAGTATTTGCACAAGGCCCTACACCTGCCTTTATAATGTTTTCTCTATGCTAAAAAAATAAAATAAAATCAGCCTCATGCCTCTACTTTATGATCAAGTGAGTCTTATCATTCAGCACACCTGGGTAACAGCGCATTAAGATGCATTTGATGCTGCTGGCAAAAATAAGGGAAAATAAAAGATACGTTTAAGAGACTGTTGCTGCTTGAGGCCTGTTGTCTGGCGTAAACACGCTCTCTGAACCACCTGGCTTGGTATTTGCAGTCCGAACACATAGCTCAGCACAGGTCCGTACATCTTTGTAAAATATTGATCCGTTCACGCCCCGTTACCTCACTGTGGGAATCACTTATGGATCTATTAATCGACAGCAGCAGGGTGTAACTGTGCAGTTGAACCCAGCGAGTGCAGGTGCAGATTGCAACAGTTACCCTCTTGACTCTTCCTCTCCCACTTCCTCCACTGTTACATCGTGATGGATCGGAAGGGGATAGCTTTATTCCGCAGGGATTTCAACTGTTGACTGAAGGAACAGATTGGGAGCAGGCTGTTTGTGCCTTCTGCCACCCTGCCCGCCTCTCAGTAGCTTTAGTGGCCTTGGCAGCAGCGTGTTGGAGCAAGGAGGAAATCTCCCTAGGAGTTTGCTCAGAGGTGCATGTTTGTCAGTCAGCACAACACAGCTGCGGACAAACAAATGCATGCACATAACATGAATAAGTATATACACCCATCCAAAGCAAAGAAGCTCATGTTTACGCCGGGATGAGGCCACACACATGCACGCTCGCTCCGTCTCTCCACTAGCTCCTGGTCCCCCTGAGCCCCCCCACATTCACTGCAACAAGAACCACGAGCTGTCAGCCTGCAGATCAATGCCTCTTTTATAGCACAGCCAGTGTTGGAGACATATTTGAAGGCAATGTTTGTCACCACTGTCAACATTTGGTGGGGCAAAAAACAGTGCCTTAAACGCATATAATTAAAAGGAATTGGATGAGGATAAACAGGATTAGGATATTTGACTAACTGGTAAATACATATTTTTGTCTTTATTCTTAAAAGCAATTTTTATTGCAGTTATTTGCGAAATTTTTCTAAGATTATTTGGGGAATTTGAGCCCCTTACCTCCCATAATTTCCAATGCTGAGCACAGCATCTCTCTAGCGAATAACACACACACACACACACACACACACACACACACACACACACACACACACACACACACACACACACACTCACACACACACTCACACTCACACACACACACAATTCTTTCTCTTGTGGACCCGAGTGGACTGTCAGCTAACTACACTAAATAATATATAGCATGTTCCAGCATGTATTAGCACCTCTTTCTGGAAAGTGCTTCCTTACATTATGGGCGAGTAGAAACAGAGTTGCATGTCACACTTCGCCTCATAAAAGAAACAGTGTTGTGCATTAGAATAGTCATTACTAGTGAGAAGCATCGCTGAAAATGTCATAAAAAGCTAAGAATAAAAAAAGTAAAGGATAATATTTCTCCTAACTTCAGACTGGAATTTCAGCCTGTTGGTTTCTAATTATGGGACCCATGAAGAGGGTGCGCTGAATTATTCTGGCAGCCTGTCTTGCTTCTGAGAGTTTATTTAAGCTCCATACCTCTGCTCTTTACCCGAAATAGATCTGTTTGATCTTTTGACGGCAAGAACAAACACCTTCCCCAAAGCCTCGAGACAGACTGTTTGTGCAAAGTGCCGTCTTAGTGACTAAGCTTGGAACAGTTGGAAGGAAGGATATTTGTATGTTGAAATAAGCAGGCGGGGGGTTTGATTCCAGCCCAGCATGAGGCTTTGACTGAATTGGGTGGTGAAGAGGGACTTTTACTTGAGGCTAATGGCTGAGTTCTTCTTGCCTTGGTGCAGGAAGTCCTCTGGGCTGGCTGCTGGTATTCATGCAGAAATGTTAATGTTGCTCTTTTGATTTCACAGTTCCAGACTTCCAAGAGCAGGACATTTTCCTGTGGAGGAAGGACACAGGGTTCGGCTTCAGGATCCTCGGAGGCAACGAGGCCGGGGAGCCGGTGAGTTTCTCCCACACTTTCTATCTCACAGCTCATTCCCTCTGGTTTGCTTTTCAATTTTCACAGCATATTTGTGTGAAATGGATAAACCACAGAAAGATGAAATACAGCACCGGTCTGAGATTTGTGTTTTTCTCTGTTCATCTGCGTCCGGTGCCGAGTTCTGAGCTTCTTATCAGCTTCAAATCAGTGATTTCTTCCACACAGATTCTCTTTGATCCGGCCAATGTAAACAGAAGACCACCCGTCTCTCACACACACCACTGCTTTATTCTCATTCCTAAATAGGCAAAGTTGTTTGTTCTTGTTCACTGGCCTGCATTGCATTTTTTTTTTGTTGAAGGGAAGCAAAATAATGATTAACTATTGAGCTGTTGTGAAAACAGTTGTAGGCTTTGTGAGAACAGTTAACAGTGTGATTTAAATTGTAGCAGACCTGTACTGCATGCCAACTATAGTCCTGCTTCAGAAGTTGGGACATGAATCGTTGAATTGAAGCGTATATGTGAATCGAAATAAATCCTGCCTCATTAAAGGATCAATGAGTAACCTTATTTGCAGAAACCCTTATGATAGCCTCGATTTTGTGCCGTAACAGCCTTTATTTATTTATTTACGTTTTCATATATATGCTTTGTTTCAGATCTACATCGGACACATAGTGAAATACGGCGCGGCAGACGAAGACGGGCGCCTGCGGTCCGGAGATGAGCTGGTAAGCGTGGACGGCACCGCAGTGGTCGGCAAGTCGCACCAACTGGTGGTGCAACTGATGCAGCAGGCGGCAAAGCAGGGCCACGTCAACCTCACCGTGCGACGCAAAGCCACCTACACCGGTAAGAAGAAAGAGGGAGGGGCCTAAGCTGTAAAAGACCTAAAGATAGATACATGTGGAAAACACTTTTTAAATGTAATCGCTAAGGGCCCCGTTTGTATCAATGGCTGTTTCCCCAGAGGCGCAGGGCCATGTTTGCTATGTGCAGGTGTTGCCTTGCTAGGTAATGGTCTGTTGAAAGTGCTCCTTTGCTACCACCAGCACATTTCCCTGCGCTGCTCCACCCTGCTCCTTGGCAGGCGATAAAGAAAGGCCCATAAATATGATGAAGAGGGTGGTCAACCTTCGTCCCGGCGACAGCGGACAGACATTAGCGCATTTCTGCTCCCCGTCTGCCTCAGAGCGTTGAGAATGTGAGGCGCCTCTCGCGAGCAGCTGTGCAGGAAATGAAAAGTGGAATGAAATGTCCGGATACCGGAGGCGGGGCCGTGTCTTTAGTTCATCTTTTGTTCGGAAACAGATCGGGGGAGAGATTGTTGGAGGGGCTCTTCTTCTCAAGCTCCCTCGCCAGCTTGTCTTTCACCATATCAGCATAAATTTGCTTGTGATGGGAAAAGAAACCTGTCTGTTTGTTTACAATCTCTTATGCTGTCAGATTGCACGGGTGATGTAACGCTTAGCTGTGTTGTCATCATATCTTGATGTAATATGCACCGGTGTCTTATTCAGCTTTTTTTCTCTTCAATTATCTCCTGAACTTCTTATGCAACACTGTCTGGCATAATATTTGTTCTCTTGTCGATGTTCTTGCGTCACCACCTCAGTTTGTACTTTCTCACCACCCTGTCTGCAATGTGTGTCTTTCTATCTTCTCCTAAATACCACTTCCTCTTCCACCCGTCACTGAATATCATGCATCTTATCCTCCTCTGCCATCTCTAGTTAAAGCAGAAGGAGACGTGCCACCCTCGCCGGCGTCCTCCCACCACAGCAGCAACCAGGCCCCCAGCCTGACGGAGGAGATGGGGAAGCGCGACCCCCAGGGCAGCCAGAACTCTCTGAACACCGTGAGCTCCGGCAGCGGCTCCACCTCTGGCATCGGCAGCGGGGGAGGCGGCGGAGGGGCGGGAGGCAGCGGTAACGCCGTCATCGCCGTGGCTGCAGCCCCCACCAACTCCTCTCAGCCCCCCGTCGTCATGTCCAACGCCCCCTCCACCATGCAGCCCTACGACGTGGAGATCCGCCGCGGAGAGAGCGAAGGATTCGGTTTCGTCATCGTGTCTTCCGTGTCGCGGCCCGAAGCTGGCACCACCTTTGGTAAGAGATGTCATTATTTGTTTGAAATACCACACACATTTGTTGCTGGAACATGCAGATTTCTTAAAGATTTGATCCACTGAGCAAAACAAAAAAACACACCCCATAGCTTTCCCTCATCGCTGGAGCCTTTTATCTTCCTGTCTTCTTTGTGGGCTGTCTTTGTATCATCTATAGAAACCTCTGAACACTAAACAGCCTGACAACCAGTACCGATTCTGGCTATTTACAATCCCACCAGATCAATACCAACACTCCACTTCAAAACAGAGGTTCTTCTTTCTCATTTTCATCTTGAGCCCGTCAAGTCGTGCCACTGAAACCCTTTCTCCGCCCTGCAGCTGCTGCTACACTCACACAAAGCTTTCATAATTGATCACAAGTGAAGTGGGTCTTACATAAGGCATTTGTTTTATTCAGCTCAACTTAAATTGCTTCTGCCCAGCAGGTTGGCACTAAAAGCCTAATGGCAACTTAATGAGAATGAGTGCTGCAGGCAGGGTAAATATGGAAAGTGATCAGTGTGAGTAATATTTATTTATTTAACAAGGTAGGATCAGAGAGATGGACTGACCTACAAAATTACCTCTTCTACATATTTTAGGTTATTTAATCAGAAACAATTAAGACACTGTTAACTAGCCATAAAGCTGGCGATATTGCTTTTACAAACAAGTCTTTTCTATGCAGTGCGCTCTATACTTCCTTCATGCCTGCACCACTATGGCTTTCCTCTCCCCTCTGTGCTCTTATCTCTGTCAGTGTGGGTGGACTGAAAATGCTCAACTTTCCAGGTCAGCTTACAGAGTAGCAAAGCTCCTCTTTTTCACAGGGCAGAGCCAAATGGATGGGCCAGCAGATACGCTTAATTTGATTTGACCTGAAATGTAAAAATCCAGGGGAAACCCAGTGGCTGCGTGAAACCAGTCCACACATACTGGAGCAGCACTGGTTTTATACAGAAATGCCAGAGTATTACTCTCTCTTTGTCTCTCCGTTCATTTACTTTTTACTCAATATTTTACAGCTAGATAAAGTTGAAAAGAAGAGGTGGTCCTGGTTAGACAAGTATAATTAGGGATGGGTACCGAGCCCCGGTATTAAACAGGCCCCGGGCTGAATTATTAAAGACCGTGGTACCGTTAAGCTCCGACGTTAGCGGTCTTTTTATCGGTACTGGAGACATGTAAAAAAATATGTCATATGTATTATTGCTACATAAACATTATATTGCAGTTTTAGTGTCGCCAACTCCGTTTCTAACATGCAAAAAGACTGCAAAAATGCTTCTATGATTATTTTTAGTATTTTCGATCGCTCTCCCCCGCCTGCTTGCGAGGGGGCGGGGCAGTTTACACACACGCAGCAACACACACACGGAGGAGACGGCGGAGAGAACGCGCTCCGAGGTGTGGTTAAACTTTACCCGCCTAAAGTGCAATAAGAGTTTAGCATGTAAGGGCGGTAACACGAGCAATTTGTTGAAACATTTAGCAAAAGTGCACCACATTCAGACGGAGGAATGCACCGGGTTCGAATGTCTTTCTAGCAGCTCTGTAGCCCCATCCACGAGTAACGTTTCCACGTCAGGTATGTATGCTAGCAGCAACACACGGAGTTAACTACATTATACAAACATGTGTTAATGATTAGAGGTAACTGAGTTATTTATTTTGTTAGTTTTGTTCACAATTTGTTTAGTTAGTTTACCTTATTTTTCTCTCCAAAAGAACCGATAAAAGTACCGTTAAAAGACCGGACCGATAAGCGGTATCGATAAAAGTAGTAGTACCGTTAAAACCTTAACGATACCCATCCCTAAGTATAATAGTGTAATAATCGAGAGAAAGAGAAGAGTTGGATGATAATATGAAAGAAGATGGTGAAAGGAAGGAGCGATTGCATGCTCCTCTTCTCTGCAGAGACTGATGTCAGACTGCAGACATAGGAAAGAGAGGGAGGAAGGGAGGACAAGAAACGGAGAGACCTCAGGGTAGCTGCTGAGATGTCAGCTTTGATGAATGTCGTCTTTCTGCGGATCCAGGTGTTTGGGATGCAGACGACACAACACCGGTTTATTATTTGCTTAGAGGCTCTCATGCAAATATAATAATGATAACCATTTCGGAAATGTGGCGCAGGAGCAGCTCTAGAAAGCACATTGGACGATACGTTTCCCAATGACTCGTTTGAAAAAACAATTTACAGATAAAGGCCTAAGAGGAATAAGAGTGACAGATTATTTTGCGGTGCTCACTTTGCCCTTCTTTGCCAACGCTTGCATTCGTTCTCTCCTGAACGGCTTCTCTCAGGGACTGCGCCTTGGCTGCTGGCTGTCGGTGAATTAACCCTTATTCTTCTGATCCTCTTTTTCTACTCCTTTCCCAATTCCTTGCCCTTCTCTCTCCAAACACACACACACACACTGAATCACAACGTGTCAATGGTGACCATAGCTGGCAATGCATGTGTGGCCATGCCCCACAAAATAGGGCGCATCATCGAGGGGAGCCCGGCGGACCGCTGCGGGAAGCTGAAGGTCGGCGACCGCATCCTGGCCGTGAACTCCTGCTCCATCACCAACAAGTCCCACTCTGACATCGTCAACCTCATCAAGGAGGCCGGGAACACCGTCACACTACGCATCATCCCCGGGGACGGTGAGTAGGGAGGGACAGGGAAGGACTACACTTTACTTAAAGGGGACCTATCATGCAAAATGTACTTTGTGATGTCTTTTATACATACATATGTGTCCCCGGTGCGTCGGGGAACTCACGCAGCGTCAGAAAATAAGACCCTCTCTCCTTTCCTCTGTACCCAAATCTTTTTAAAAAACGGGTGTACAACGAGCGGATTCAGATTCCATCCGAACTGACGTCAAATCGGCAGCGGACCCACAGAAAGTTGCTATCAGAAACAATGCCTGACGTGTTTTGGACGTAATCTCGTCTTTGTTTACATTAGCAAGCCTCGCTAACACTCAGAGCTAACCTGTACTGAAGAGCACATGTTTTAAAAAGCAGGAAATAAAAAAAGAACTCGCCTTGTATAAACCTGCAAGAGAAAAAGCCTTTGAGCTCCATACTGTTTCAGAAATAATCCTTGATATGGTTTAAACAGGATGGAGTTTTATCACAACCGAATTTAACTTTACCTCCGGTAGAATTCTGATCAGGCATTAGCTCCGCCTCCTCTTCTTTTCTTTTTTTCAAGCTAAGGACCCAAGATCCGCGTTTTTCTAACAGGGCTTCAAAAGAGGGGTTTGAGCAGTATGAGGGAAGGCTACAATGGGTGAACTGTTTGGTATTTTGAGAAAAAAAACTTCACAGACATGTTTTGTATAGGTATGGCCCTACAATATATGTTTCCAATATAGCATGATAGGTCCACTTTAAAGCTCATTTGAATTAGTCATTTGTTTATTAGTAAATTATTTAAATAAAATACCAAGATTGGGAACCAGCAACCTGAGGGATGCCTTCAGAGTCCTTGCAACAGTGAGGGATTTTGCCAAACAGCACATTCTGACCATAGACACAATATTTAGCAGGAGCCAGTTCATAAAGGTTCAACTAAGGTTGCAGACTTTTGCAACAACGCGATCAACTACAAGTATTATTATGTAGTCTGAGTTTCTTTGAGCTGCAGGACAAGTCATCAATTTCCTGAGTGGTTATTATGTATGCCTGTAGGGTTATATAAATCGTACAGTTCATTCACAGTGCCTTGAACGACCCGGCAGTGTTGACAGAACGGCTTCTTTGGGGACTTTAAGGAACTTTTTCTACTTGAAATGATGGATAGGTGTGTGTTTTAGTGTGTGTCTGAGTGGGAGAGGCAGAACTTCCTCTGTGGTTGTATCTTAAGTCTAAAGTGGTTTTAAGGAAAAGTTTGTTCTCATTGTATGTTGTTCGCTGCAGCTGAGAGCTCTCGCAATTTTGTGCTGACAGATCACCCTGGCATGCTTCACAAATGCTGTTTAATTAAGTGTGTGTGTGTGTTTGTGTGCGAACAAGGCGATACTCCCTGTCAACCTGCGCTCGGGAAGAAATTGGAGCTATTTGTCCGACGCTAGTTGCTTTCCGGCTCACATCTTATGGATGAGGAGTTTTTTTCTTGTTTTTTTTCCCCCTCCCCCGAGACAAAATTGCTCTGCCAAAAAAGAGATCGAGAGCAAGAGAGAAGACATCGGAGAGAAATAACTGGATGTGCTTTATCGGAAAGTTCTGGTTTGTGTTTATATGTCAAACAATCAGATGGCGTCTGACACAGAGTCAAAGAGAGTGGCAGGGAAAGATAGTGGCTTGTGTTTCTGAGTTTCGCACATGACTGAGCAGCCTTATTTTTGTGTGGATCAAGCTTGTCCAAACTTTCCAACAGGAATAAATAACACCGCGAGAGGTTCTTCCGAGGTGAAGTTTCCATTGAGCTCACTGCTCCCCTGTGTAGGAACACAGATGGAGTTTTGTTGCGACTGATGCTCAAGTCTGCAATGACAAGGAAAACAGGAACTCTTCCTGCTGGTGCGCTGTAAATAATGCACAAACAGCTAATGCCCCAATCAAAGCGTGTGTCTCTGCAGCGTAGACTTGAGGCCTGGCACACCTTGTTGCTTCCTATTGTGTAGGAGAGAGAGAGACAGACGTGCCTCAGGTGATATGATGTGTGAAAATGCTGTCTGACTTCTCTTATCTGTTCTGCATTTCTTATTTGATTGTACCTGCTCTACTACCATTCAGTGCAAGGGGCATATTGCCAGCGCCAGAGAGAAATGATTAGTGCTTTACTCTTTGCGCTGTGGATGTTTTGAAGGAGAGAAAAGAGGCAGTGGGTTGCCAGCGTAACGGAAGAGAGAGTAAAACGGAGCTAATTCGACTAATTTGCCTAACAGGAAAACAGTTGGGGAGATAAATGCAGAGAGGCAGCAGGATGGAAGGAGTGGGTTATGCAAACGAGCAGATGGAGGGGCGAACAGGGTTTACAGGGATACGTTTGAGGCTTAAATGGGAAAATGAGCAACAGAAAGTATGTGAGGTGCTAAGATGCCAGGAGCTCGTACGGGTGGACAACCATCACACTGTAGCCTACACCTATGGTTCTACTGTAGGCAGTGTTCAATTACACTCACCCACTAACCCACGCTGCAGCCAGGCTGTTTGATTTGTACCACGTGGTCAACGGGCAATCAAAGTGTTAAGCCAGCAGGCTCTAAGGGGACTGATGGAGGTGAAGGCGAGATGAAAAGATGAAAGGAGGACCTGCCTGTGAGAGGAATAGTGAGTGAGTGAGGAGAGAGCTGTTATCGGATGAAGGATATCTGTTAATAAGGATGTGAATGAGAAGAGAGCTTTTCTATGCGACAAGCGTAATGTAATGGCAGTAGGTTTGTGTCGTTAGAGCCCAGCGTAATTCATTGATAACAGCGTTAAGATAAAAGGAGGAATGAATAGCAGCTTTAATGTCCTCAGAGGCTGCGAGTGTGCGCTGATTGACAATTCACAGACAGACAGGAAGAGTCCACGGTGTGATTTATATATTTTGGAAAAGAAACACAATTTTACATGCATCACGTCAAAATGATTGATCGCACAAAAGCTTTGTTCTCGTGTCCCAATCTTGGCTAAGTGGTGGAGGAAGCCCAGAGGCTGCTGGAGCTGCTGCTAGTCCCCATAGGTTCTGTTAATGTTTCTACACCAGTGTAAAAACATTGAAAATGAAAATGCTCCTCATGTGAAATATTGATTTAATCTCACTCTGAGCTCTACAGACACTTCCATTGGAGTATTTGTTATATAAAGTGATATGAATGACAAAAGAAGCTGTATGGGAATCCAATAACATGTTCTCAGTGTAGAAGATGTTATACAGGACTGTCTCAGAAAATTAGAATATTGTGATAAAGTTCTTTATTTTCTGTAATGCAATTAAAAAAAACAGAGAGGTTCTTCCTCTCTGAAAAACCAGCACCTTACCGTGGTAGAGAGGTTTGTGTGCCCTGATGAACCTGGGGGCTGTGTTGTCTGGAAAAGGTTCCAGACAACACAGCCCCCAGGTTCATCAGGGCACACAAACCTCTCTACCACGGTAAGGTGCTGGTTTTTCAGAGAGGAAGAACCTCTCTGTTTTTTTTNCAGTAGAGACCTCCACCAAAGAGAGACCCAAGACCAAGCACCCCTCCCCCCTCCCTAGTGGGTTTGTCCCAGGGATGGGTGAAGGGTCCTGGGAGGGTGATAAAGTCCTTTCCCCCTTTCGACCCACCACCGTCCGCCGGGTGTCTTAGGGCGTGAAGATGGGGGAGAACGGAATGTTTTCGTAGATAGACCCACCATATTCGGGCACAGAGCCATCGCCCCTCTTGAGCACCAGATGGACGCGCCGGCCCCCGCTCTTGATGAGCTCGATGGCTCGCGCGTGCTTCATGCCCTTGGTGCTCTCGCCGTTGATCTCCAGGATTTCGTCGCCGACCTACGGAGGGAATAAAGGAGAGGGGAGAAGGAGAGGCAAAAGATGGGAGGCAGAGAAGAGTGACAGGTGAAGATGGAGGGGAGAGGAGGGACAGAGAAAGCCAGAAGAAGGAGAGGAGATAGCAGAGGAAGATAACAAGTGTCGGAGGGGAAGAAAGCACACGAGAGGAAAGATGAGAGGCAGGGAGGTTCAAAGGGAGGGAAGACAGCAGAAGGGAGGGAGAGGGAGGACAGATCGAGGAGAAGTTACATTTCAAATCCTAAATCGCACAACAGCAAAAACAATGTTCACTATATTGTCTATCTGTAGGGGGAAAGTCAGCAACTGTGACTCCCAGAGAGGAGAACAAGAGAGGAATCGGGAGCCAGGAGAAACCCTTTCTGCTTCCCGCTCCTTTCCCTCCAGTTATCTGACAGTCTGCCCAGGGGACTCCTCTCTGGCAGAATATGGATCTCTCACTGACACCTCTACTGCCTCACAGAGCTGCTGCTAATCATACCTCTGCTAATACATGCATGCCCACACACTTCCTAACTGTTGCTAATAACATACATCAAAAGCTATTTTATGATATAGCTCACGTGAGTAACTGCCAACAGGCTCTCTGCAGTAAACACATAAGGGAGTATCAATTAACCCTGTATTGTATATTAAATAAAGCAGCCCAGGGGAAATGCAATTAACCAATTCAAAGGTTAGATATCACCGTTTCGTGAAAGCTTCTGTAGTGTATACATGCCACTTCATGAGCCAGTAGACAAGTGTTTATTCATTTACATGTTTATACTCTGTACACAGGTAAGCTCCATGAGTCGGCCTTGTTTTGTATTGCACACACAATGAACCTGAAGCCTGGAGGGACCGTGTTTATATTCAGTGGAGCATGGCTCGCAGTAATTGAGAGGAACATTGTGCACAAGCAATTAAATTGATAGACAATATTATTCTGATGGTTGTTTGAGTCTATGAGGCAGTGATTACCAGCCCTCCTGTTAATCAACACAGTCAACGGGCTTACACAGCACCTGAGAGTGGTGACTCATCATATCAGTATGAACACATAGTCACAATCTAATCACTTTTGAGACAGCTCTGCCCAAACCCCACATCTCCAATTTGTTTTAGACAAACTGGAAGATTAAGTTTTCTTTTACGAGCTGAGAAAATACTCTTTTTAAGTTAAATAAACTAT